GCACACATCAATGGCCTCATCCCCAAAAGTATAGGCAGCATGAGCGGTCTTACATCCCTAAGCCTTGACGGAAACAACTTGGCGGGATGTATTCCTTCTGAGATTGCTAAGCTTAAACAACTCCAAGGGCTGTTTCTAGATAACAATAAATTGCAGGGACATATTCCAGAGGCGGATGCCATTTATCTAATTTGGTTGATTATTTCTGGATGGTAATGAGCTCTCTGGATTAATTCCAGAATGCTTAGGAAACCTTAGTATGCTACAACATCTTTATTTGGAGGACTGAAAGCCATTGTAGAACTATATCTTTCCAGCAACCACTTTTCAGGAATGATACCAAGCACATCCGGGGAACTCCAAAACCTGCAGTCTCTTGACCTATCGAACAATTCATTTTTTGGCCAGAAATCTTGTTTCAGTGATTACTACATGTTCTAGTGACTATATAAGATCCTTTGTTCTACAATTTATGCCCAATGGAAGACTAGAAAATTGGCTGTACAAAGAAGATCACCACTTGAACCTTCATCAAAGGGTCACTGTAATGCTTGATGCAGCTATGGCAGTTGAATATCTACATCATGGTCATGTCACTCCAATAGTTCATTGCAACCTAAAGCCAGCCAACGTTCTTTTGGATGAAGATATGGTGGCTCATGTTGGTGATTTTGGAATCTCTAAAATTTTAGCCATAAGCAAGTTCATGGCTTATAGCGAGACATTGGGGACTCTTGGATACATTGCACCAGGTATAAGAAAATCTACTCTCATTGATTTTCTCTTATCATAATTAAGCCTCTCCAAGTTGTAGAAGTAAAAATAGAATTATTGTTGTATTTCAATTGAGTAACCTTCAATCCTTTTCTAAGAATATGGCTCGGATGGAATAGTGTTTGCTAGTGGCGATGTTTATAGTTACGGCATCATGTTGATGGAGGTTTTGACGAAAAGAAGGCCAACAGATGAAGAGATATGCAATGAAAATCTTGACTTGAGGAAATGGATCACACAATCATTTTCAGGGAGTATGATGGACGTTGTGGATGCCAATCTTTCTCCGAGGAAGAACAGATCACTTCAGAAAGTGAAATCTGCATTGCGTCCATGATAGAATTGGGTTTAGACTGCACAAAGGAAATGGCAGAATCAAGAATAACTATGAAAGAAGTAGTGAAGAGGCTTAACAAAATAAACAACACATTTCTGGAAACATAGAAGTGATCAGCATCTGTTCTTTTCTGAGCTGCAAGTTAATATGATGTTTTTTGTTTCTTTAGTAAAGTGGTCTTATAGTACTTACTACTTGGAGTCATGTATTGTTTGTAATTTCATTTGAGTGATTTGAACCTATTTTACTTTATCTATTTGTAATTATGTTTTGAATGCTTGAAAGAAACCAGAATGAAATTAATAAAGGTTTGTGGCAGTTACCTGAAGCATTTGGCCCCCGTTTGAGGCTGCGCAGGTAAGCTTCTGTTCTCCCTTCTCTCTTTTCTTTTCTAAATTAATTTTCTACTAAACTAATAAACCCTACTACTTATTTTAATATATAAGGGTCAAATAGCATAGGGTCTTAAATAAATTATCACTTTAGCCCATTCACTATCGATTAAGTCAATTATCTACAATTGTTCATCAATTAATTAACTCTAACTAAACGAATATTTAAAATTTTCAAAAATAACCTTCCGGGTCATTACAATCTTTTATTTATTATAACGTAATAAGCTGATTTTCAACCAAATAGAGATAAATTATTTCTTAAAAGTCTTCTCCAGCTCACATGCCCTTAATTAATTAATCCTTCAAGTTGGCATTAGATTAGTCACTAATTTAATTCGTAAAGTCAAAACTAATTATCTTATCAAAATAATTTAAAATTTAATATCTAGACGATCATCTACATACTATAATACTAAATTTGGATAATAAAACCTAAGGTCACATATTTTATCGAAAAACATCAATATTTATCTTTTATGTTGATTATTTTTAACTTTTTCTTAATTTTCTGACCAACAAACTATTCAAAAATATATTTATTTCCTCGTTAATTATTTGGCCAATAAACTTATAGCGACTTGTACCTTGCATTTTTTTTTCCTTTTTTTCAGGTCCGATCGAAGTTTAGAGAATTTAGCATCAATTAACATAAATTCATATGAATAAATTATGCCTCATAAAATATAATTGTGTGGTGAAATT